CACTGCAGCTGCTTGCAGCCCACATGGGGCTGCCTGCGCCCGCTCCAGACAGCCCCATGCGGGCTGTGACTGCCTGCAGTGTGGGGTGAGGGAGGGGCCACTTCCTCCCCGTGCTCAGCTTTTCCCTGGGCTCCTTCCCTGCGCAGAGAAAAGTGGCCCCTCGCCTGCCCCATGCCCGGCACTCCCTGGTGCAGGTGCTCGCAGCCCATGCGGGGCTGTCCGCAGCAGGCATGGGCAGCCCCAGGCTGGCTGCAGCGTGGGGCACAAGGCATGGGGTGGGGAGGGGCTGCTTCCCCCCCACACACACACTCAGCACCACCTTGTAACCCGGCCCTACTGCCAGCCTGGCAGTGGAGTGGGTTACAAGCTGGTGCTGAGTGCAGGGAAAAGTGGGGAGCGCTGGCCATGGGGCAGGCAAGGGGCCACTTTTCCCCGCGCTCAGCACCAGCTTCTTCCCTGCTGGCGAGCAGGGGGTTGGGGCTGTGCGCTGCCCCCGCCCTGTACTGTGAGGCTGGGGGGCACTGGGTGTCAGTGGGCAGGGAGCCAGCGGGAGCATGGGGCCCACACCAGTGTCCCGGGGCCAGTGCCAGTGGGGCCCAGAGCAGGGTGGCAGGAGTGCGGGGTCCCAGCTGGCAGGCACTCTGTGGAGCCAGGCCAGCTCCTCTCTCCCTGCTGGTGCAGCCCAGCCTGGCTCCACAGACCCCTGCCAGCCTGCACCCCACTTTGGGCCCCACTGGTGCTGGCCCTGGGATGTTGGTCCCAAGATAGTAACCAGAGGGCGGGGCACCTGTCAAGGGGTGGGGTACCTGTCAAGGGGTGGGGCTACCCACGTGGCCCTCGACAGCCTGCCAAACTGAGTAAGTAGCCCTCCACCCAAAATAATTGCCCACCCCTGGTGTTGGATCAGGGACCAGGGCAGGGCCACAATCCACTCTGCATATTGCTGCGATGGGTGACAGTTCTACAGGCAGGATCATGTGGGGAGTGGATTACAGCTCTACCTAGGCCCTGTGTTGTTACCACCCAAAAATCCTGGGGTCTTGATGGAGACTAGCCGGGACCCAGGTGGGCAGGGTGCATGGCTGGATGGAAAGGCTGGGGCCATGGGTGCACAGGGTGGGGCATCCGGAAGTGGAATGGGCAGAACTGCTGCTAAAACCCATTCCCTGCACACCCCTGCCTGGAGAACTGGCACCCATCACAGGGATGTGCGGGGAGTGGATTGTGGCTGTCTCAGTCTCCAGCCCTACACTGTCATGACCCCAAGATCCCATCCCTGCCTGCCTGTCTGTTCTATTCGCAGATACCACTCTGTGGCTGCCCACAGTGGTCCCAAACCAGTTTTCATAGAGACCCTGCCCGCCTGCTCCATCTAGCGACAGCAGTGACACTAACAGTGGTAGCTGGAAAGAGCCACCGCTGACATGGCTGCGAGGAAGTGAGTCTGGCCGCTGCACCATCCCAGGCATGCTGCGTGCTTGGGGGTAGTAAAACCAGCTTCACGTGCCAGAACCCATGCTGCCCCCTGTGCCTGGGCTGGGTGAGGCCAAGGGATCTGCCACAGGCTGGACAGAATCCCTTGGTGGGCTGTATCCAGCCCATGGGCTGTATTTTGCCCACCCCTGTCCTAGCATGGTTCTTTATTCTAAGATGCATCCAACATCAGATGTCTGTAGGGTGGAGAAGTCAACCGGGGTAATTTAAATTCCCCATCAGGATTCATCTGATTGCTTAGTCAGATTCTAATCTTTCTTTGTCCCTCTTGAGATTTCCTTTCTCCATAATCCTTATTTGGAAATGAATTTACTAAACTTTACACTGCTCATGTAATTATCAGCTACCTCTTAATGCAGATGTCTACACCTTTTTATTTTAAAGTTCCATGCATTCTTTCATATAGTACAGCTTGCATAACTTCTTTTTCCATGTTTAACGTAAATGGAAAAGGGGAGGTAGCAGACAAGCTATGTAGGAGTTTGTGCCATAGAATCTGTGCCCCCCAGTCTCCAGCTTGGAGACGGTTTTTGTAGCTTTTTTAAAAGAAAAAGGTACAGGCAAAAATAAATAAACAAAACCCCAAACTTGTTATATTAAGTGAGCTACTCCCCAATTATTATTGTTCCAATAAAAATTACAATTTCTGTTCTAGTTGTTCTAAAGGAATCCCAATGGCTGTTCTACTGAAATTTTGCTCAGAAGGGGATAATATCCCTGATGCACTTGCTCTGGTTAACTATCTTAATGAATGGCTCCAGCTAATTAAAAGTGAAGTAAGTATTGTATCTAAAATTCTTGGTTTCATATTTGTGATTATTAATTGTTTCAGTAGAAAATTACAAAGACTGTTTCAAATTTTAATTGAATTTTCACTAACGAGCAATTCTTTTTCCTTGGAAGGTTGTATTTCAGGGTAGATTTTGTCATTGTGTTGTCCAGGTTACTGGAAACAGAGAAGTTTTTTCACCATGTTCTTTAGGAACAAAAACCAGATACTGTATGTTTTGAGAATAATAGCATGTTAGGATGAAAGTATAATCCTGGTTGGTCTTATGGTAGCCTTCTCATGATAAATCTACAATATTAGCTGTGTGACTAAAGATAAAGGGAAACAAAGTGGGGGAAATAGTTTTTTTCTAGCTGTGGTTACTGCCATTCTAAAATTTGAAAATAACGTTGCTGTTTTTAAATCAGCAGAGCAGCAGTACCACAACTACCGCTTCACACTGGAAAATACCAAGTTCTTGGAGACTGTTATTTGGCAGCGGCCTTCCACCTGCACTCTTCTGATCTGTGCTGAATTTTTCTAAGTCACCTGTATAAAATATCTGTAACTTCCCCTATGATGGTAACATAACGAGCGTAAGCAGCAACAGCCTAATTTGCTGAAGACATTAGTATCTCTTTATATAAGCAAGCAGATCTTTTCACGTTGTGGTTATTTAAAGAAATTGGTTTAACTTCCACTAATTGGCTAAAGTGCAATTGTGTTTTGCACAATGGTTCCTTTGGAAACTTCTGTTAGAATATTTTCTAATAAATTATTTCAAAAGGGCATTTTTGTTTTAATATCCTGTCCTATCTACTGTTGTCATGGAGAGTGCCATATGGCCACCTCTAAGCATAGCAGATTCAGTAAGATCAATGTGAGAGTCCAGATTATTCATTCAAATGTCAAAGTTACAATTAAAAAAAAAAATCAATGGAAGAATTTCTTACTTTCCATATCTATTTGTATTGCAGCAATAGCAGAGATGAGCCCTCTGGGGTTAGGAGCATACCTCAAGAGAAACAGCAACTGGCCTGAAGAGCTTCCAGTTTCATTTAGAATAGATGAAAAGTGTAGAAGTTAAAATTATTTGGCAGCCATCTAACAACCTGTAGTTTGTGAAGAATTGGCTTCAGCTATTCAGAATAAGTGACTAATCACTTAGCACATATGGTATTACTGTCTTCCTTGATTGATTGAGTAAAGCCTTATGAATGAGAAGAACATTTTTATATAATTAAGAACGTATACTATTCACTTCCAGCTAAGGATGTGTCTGAAGATTCCCCAAACATTGCAATAAGTAAAAACCAAATAGGAATGGAAACTAAAATGTCAGCAATTAATAATCTTTACTGTTCCTGAGAGTTTTTCATTCATATTTTGCAGCCTTAGGCATCTCTGGCTACTAATGCAGAATCAATCACACACCATAAAAAGATCTAGTTGGAGCAAATACATGTAGTCTGAAATACTTTCAAATATAGTGTTTCAGAAGTCAGACATGAGTCCTAAATTAGAAGTACCGGTAAAATCTGCCAAGCCTAAAATAGTTTCAACATATGTAGAATGATGTGGGCATAAAAGAAAACTGTTACTGGTAATGGTTGAGCTAGAAGTATTTTGGTTTCATGTTTTTACTTCCCATAACAAAGCTGCAGTGTTTCACACTGATGAATCTTCAAGCAGTATGAATACCTTGTCTCAGATTGACAGCTCTAAAGTCTGAATCTGGAACTAGCTTTAATCTTCAATCGACAAAGTAGTAACTAGGGATCCTGGTTTTCTCTGATTAAAAATTGAAAATTCTCTGATTAAAAACCCCAAATCCATGATAAAAATTAAAGGCCCCCCAGTGCTGCTGGTGCCCTGCATTCCCCCCCCCAGTTTCAACAGCCCTCCTGATGCCCCTTGCAATAGCCCCCCAGATCCACAGACATGCAGACAGACACTGACACCCACCCCAGCAGGGAAGTGTGTGTGGGGGGAAAGGGGGAGGGCAGGGCAGGGGAAAGGTAAGGTGGAGCTGTGTGGCTGGCCACCGGGTGGTAGCAGCAGCATGGTGGTGGCTGGGCAGCATGCAGCCATCCCCACCACCACCCTGCGCTGTGCCGCTGCCACCAGCTGCACAGCTCCGAGCATGGCTCCGCGGCAGCAGCGGGAGGTTTTGGAGGCAGCAGCCGTCACTGCCATAACGGGCCTCCAGGTAAGTGGCAGTACCGTGTGCAAACCCAAGCCCCTGCTCCCCACCCCGCATCCCCATCCCTCACAGTGGCTGCAGAGCCAGCCACGGAGCTGTGCCCCAGCCGCATGCCAGCCTCCCTCTCCCCCTCCCTTGGGTAGCTGGCTGGGTGGCATGTATGTGGCCCACACATAGCGGGCATCACCACACTGTGCCCTGCATTGCTTGCCCTCAGAGGGGCACCCCTGCCCTCACCCCCCAGCCCTGCTCCCTGCTGCAATGTGCCACCTGGGGCTGGCAGCACCCCCCACTCCCTCAGACCCCAAACCATCTTCCCCAGCCCTGCCTCACTTACCTCCATGCTCCAGGGGCAAAGGGTGAGTGTGAGCCTGAGCCCGGCCTTGGCTGCCTCAGAGGCTCAGGCTCTGCCCTCCCCCTGCTCCCTCCCCTCCAGCCAAGCCTGGGGGTTTCCCACCCTTTTTGCAATTGGCTCCTGGATGCTGGAGCTGTGCCAGCCTGTGAGAGCTCTTTGCAAAAGTGGAGACTCCGTGGATTTCTCTGCTAAAAGGAGAAATCCGTGTTTTCTCCAATAAAAACAGGGAATCTGTGGTTTTCTCCGTTTTTTCCATGGGAAACGGAAAACCCGGGTTCCTGGTAGTAACTTACGCACATGTGATGTACTTTGGCTTACAAGTAGGAGAGGTTCTACACACTCAAAATACATATGTAGACTGTTTTTCAAATATTCATGAATGAGTGACGTGGCATCTTAGTTGCAATGAGAATAAAATATTGTCAGAACCACCAAGCATGTCACAAGTATTTGGGATGACAATGCAGACAAGAAAATACATGAGGAATTGAGCTGTGCTAGAACAGAGAAGATTCTGGAATTTGCATGCGACTACCCTAGAAGGTTTCAAACAACAGCTGGTTTTAAAGTTAAGATTTCATTTGAGGCTCATGGTCTTGTGATTACTTCCCAAGGAACAGAAGCATACTTATTGAAAAGTGGTCAGATATTGGTTAACCATTTTTGCACTTTCCTGTAATTTTCATCCCTGCAAATGCTATGTATTGTAGACCATGACCAGATATGCTGTTTGAGATTGTACTCAAAACAAAAGGGGAAACAGGGGAAACAGACATGCATAGCAGAAGAAATGCTTCAAAAATGATCCTCAAAAACTGAGGAATATCTTCAAAGCAAGGACTTTCTGAAATGGCTGTATTACCCATGATTCTTCAGTCTCAGTGCCCTGATTCCTCTGCCCCATCACCAGGGATCATGTGAGGTGTGTAGGGATTCCTGCTCTCCAGCCCCCTGCAGCCTTTGCTGCCATTGTGAAGGGATGAAGTGGTCTAGGCTAGGATATAGTTTGTACGTCAGTGGCCATAGTTTGCATTTAGACAGTAAAAGTTACCTTCAGACATCTTAAGTGCAGTACTTTTCATCTTGAAGGATCTCCAGATTCTCCAGGAATGTAACACTCTTCATGGGGAACATGTCATCCCTAAGAAGCAACCAGAAGGTAGAATCTGAGAGTTGTTTCCAAAGCAGCACTGCTTCATAGTTTGAGGAGTTGAGCCTACCAGGCAGGTAAGCATTCCAGCTCCAGTCCAGCAAAGCACTTGGCTGGCTGCTTAAATTGAAGCCTATGTGCAATAGTCCACCCATGCCACTCTAACTGAAGGCTCAGGGCCTCATTTTAAATCCCAAAGCATACCCAAATGTTTAAGTGCTTGCTGGATGTGGAACAGACTGCTCAGCAGGGGTTGCTCCTAAATCCAGGAAGTCAAAAACGCAGCTACATCAATTTTCCATTCCTTCAGCGTAGACTGCCAGTAACTAAAGAAGTCAGAGGGTTACTCCAGATATACACCACTGTAAAATGTGAAAGTTATCAATCTTTAATGGCCCCAAGGAGGAAGTTCATAAGCCCCAAAGAGAAAAGGTTGGGGCTTATGAATATGTATAAACCATAAGTGGGCTAGAGTTTAGAATAACTTAGGGAAGGCTGAGTGGAATTAACTAGCTTTAGGTACTGCATGGAAAGTGTGGGTGTGGTTGAGACTGAGTATTTAATTCTGGAATGTTTCATAAATTGCTGATAGGTAGAATTTTTTTTGTGGGGGAGGAATCTTGTTAATAGCAGCACAATCATGCTACTTCAGCATGCAGACTGCTACCCTGAATTCTCTTTGTCTCAATTTCTTTAAAACAATCTTCAGCCTGGCTCAATCCTAGAACCTCTTACTCTAGTCCCACTTAGAGCAGTGGACTGCAATATGTTTCAAAGTGTGAACATAACTAGTGAATGTAGCTATATATTCCTGTCACTCACTGTTCCCTCCTTTGATTTATTACAGCCACTTGTGTATTGTCTTAAATGAGGCCCTGAGCCTTCAATTAGAGTGGCATGGGAAGACTATTGTACTGATGTGTCTTCAGCAGCAAAAAATCAACTGAATTACAGATGTTATTGTAGAATAAAAGACCTTAATGGATAGTAAGCGTGACTTCTTGATGTGGGCACGAACACCTCATGCAATAAATACTGCATGTGGCTGCAACTCTAGCTTGCTTAAAAAAATAATAAACTCACTGAATTTAGTGGAAAGCATGTATGCATTGAAGAGGCATAATTAGGGTGTCCTTTTAACAACAATAGGTTAATTTTGTTTAAAAAAGTATTTTCTATGAAAGTTAGGTATTAAAATTACCTTGCTTTTTCACAAGCTTTACTCAGTAGTTTACTCAGAAAGGACAGGATTAAAGCTTAGTACCAGAGGTTTTAGAGTGCTGATTATCAGTATACATCTATGTAGGTAAAATAATGAGCGAGTTAGTGGCCTGTGGCAATGTAATTTTAATGAAAAGTACTACATGAATGCAAGTGCACACATCTAAGACACCAATTTAAACCAGTTTAAAAATGGACACTTCTAATCTTGTGTTTTCATTCTATTAAAATATGATGGGTATGCTTTAATAGGTGCTATGTGACAGTCGTTTACTGCAGCGAGTTCAAGCTACAGACACTCTTTATTAATTATAGTACCCAAGAATTAACTTGTTTTCTATACGCTGATCAGTATGTGGGAAGCTGCAGTTAATGACAAAGGAGGTGCGTTCAGTTTTTGTAGCTACTAAAAATCAAAGCAAGTTAAGAAAGAGATTAAATTCTGGTCAATGTAGTAATCTAAACAATGGAGAAACAAAGCAATGGGAAGGGTGAGAAAGAAGCAAGAGGTGTGTAGCAACAGCAAGGGACTGTCTAATTGGAGCTCAGAGACAGAATGTGATAAACAAGTGCTAGTTTTGAGGAGTAAGCAAATTAACTTTTTCTTCCCTTGAATGGGCACAGCCAAAAGGTATCATTTCAAACTAATTATTGAAGCAAGTACTTATGTTGTTTTAGTCACCATGGTATCAAGGCAGCTGCACTTTTTAAGAAACAGGACAGAGAGACTTACAAGACGACCAGTTTAAGAAAATAGAAAGCAGACGTTTGAGACATAATCGCATTAAAATAACTTTACCATGTTCCAGCAATGAGATGCACAAATCTGCCGCTTAGTTTTTGCATTTTGTTGAATGTGGACAAAAAGATAGTAGGCTGGTCACTTCCATTTCTATCAGCCTGGGCTGATACTAGGCAGAAGCTGTACTGTCGGCTGCAAATACTTCAGGGGAGTGTTTGTGATAATTAAGGATCTGCTGAATAGCAACCAAATGTTATATCCCAAAAATGTTGTGTTCTCTTTAAAAATAAGCATAATTATATCACAGCATCTTAAAGGTTATTGTTATAGTTCACAAGTCAGACAAACTTGAATGCAAATCATTTATAGAACACAGACCCTTAAGATTGCAGGGATTTCCTTTGACCTCTATAAATGACAAAGGTTTCCTTACGGTCCCTTGAGTTGGGTAGAATCTTTGCAGAGGTGTTATCTCAGTACATGTAACAGTAACAATCTGCTGTGGGGTTTAAGAATTGAGGACAAAATCCTGGCTTCATTGAAGTCAGTCTCAGAGAAGGCATGAGGCTGCTTATCACCCTGCCATGCTATATTACGATTCCTTATGTAGCTATACCATGTCATGAACGCTGAGGAGCGTTTGAAGAAGGCCTGTAGCACTAGACACTAAAAGGCCAAGGCACTAAAATCATGCAGCAAAGACATCAGGTAAGCTCCTTTCTGCTGTAGAAGCATGAACCATAGGAAATTGTATTAATAATTTAACCTATAAATAGTACAAAGTGGCTCCAGGGGGAGGGGTCACTTCATAGTTGGTAGGGACCTAAGCAGATCATCTAGTCTGACCCCCTACCATGGTCAGGAAAGGATGCTGGGGTCAAATGACTTCTTTCTATGTTACCCATTGATTGTTGGGTAACAGCATTTGACACAACCAGTTACGTGATTTTTCTTGAGACAGGTCTCACTCATAGAAGTATATGCAATGAGAAATAAAATTTCATTAGAACTTCATGACAACTGCATGGTTGGAATATATGCTTAGATCAGCTTTTGGGTGCCTCAGTATCCTTCCCAAGGTTTCTGGGTGAGAAGCAGACACCTCCTGATACTGCCCACAAAAGTTCTTTCTTCATGTATATTTCCTGGACTTAAACTTTATTTTTACACTTACTAAGATTTGTTCTTGTTTTATAACAGATGGAATCATTTTGGCCAATGGCACTTAAGCAGTCTTACAGTTTCTTCTAACTCTTCCCTGTGGTTGAAAGGCCAGCAAAGCTTTATTCTCTCTTTTTCCTTGCAACTTCTAAAAGACATTCTCTGCTCTGCTAAACCCTGGAAAGTCATGATCTGCTTGAGCTCAGTATTACATCATCCAGCTCAGCCTAATTCTTCTCCTGAGCTTGTCTAATTGCACCATTACAAATTAGCTAGTTTCAAGTGTGAAGTGGCTGTGGGTCTGGCTGTTTTATACTGTGGGAGGAGTGCTTTGGATTACTTATGCCAAGGATTCACTACATCAGCTGTGTAGGTAAGTAACATGACCAGCAACTGTTTTAACAACTTTGATTCAAAGTTGGGATACATGATAGGCAGATGTTCAGCAGTGAGCCATAATACAGTTATCTCCTATACTTCCTAGTCTACAAGCTAGCTAAAGCTCATATGCTTACAAATGAATGCATGGCATGAAAATTTCATGCAGCTTTTGTAAATGCTTGGCTAGGTGTAAGAAACATATTAGGGTAGTGGGAGGCAACTTATGACAGACTTGCCTTCAGTTAGATCCACACCCTGAGTGCCACTCCCCCCTTCCCCCCTCATCAGCTGCTTGTTTCTTGTTCTCTGCCCTGTGCCTTGTCTGCCACTTTGTTACCTGTTCACTCCCTGGTCTGCTGGATGCCATGTACAAAGGCTGCCCATGGCTCTAGGGGCACGTGCTGTAGTTTGACCACCCTGTATTAGAGCATTTTTTCCAAGTAATATTGCCAGAGGACATTTAAGCACTCAGTAGAGGGAATGATAAAGTTTGGTGTAGCTACAACGATGGAGCTGAGTAGTCAGTCTGGAAGTAGGAGCTATAGATAGGGTTTGCAGATAAAGCAGTAGCATTTGTTTTAGCAACCCAAGATTACATTTCTAGTTGTATACTACTTTCAGAATAGCTCAATCCCAGTCCAGAAGCTTCTCAGTCTAAGGACCAGTTAGCAATCAGGCAGCCAAGCAGAGAAATAGAAATAAGTGTCACGCTATCAAAAGACTGAGCACTATAACAGAATGGGTTCTTCAGGAGAGACTTAACGTGCAACAAAGAAGTGCACTTAGAAGCACTTCGCTTTCTTCTCCAATTGATTCAGAGCATGCTCTCTTTTTCAAGGCACTGTTAACATGGAATTATGGCTGTATCAGCCATAGGGTCATACCCAGAGATGTATGAAGTTTAAACAAGACTCCATATATTATGCAGTAGTGGGATTTACTATAAAGTCTGCCAAATCCACTTTAATTTAATGTGTTTATAGCCTCCTGGTTCCAAAAGTGTCTTGGAAGCTGAGAGCAAATTGTGCATAACATAAAACAATCCTGTAAGAGGCATTAACTACATTATAATATAAATATATACATAAAAAAATTAAGTCTAAGACTGAACAGAAATAATTTGGGCTGTAATTAAAAGACAGCTATTGAATTAAGTTACTACTGGTTAGGTTCATCTTAAAAGAGAAGCATAGTGCTGGATAAGGGCACTTGCCTGAATCAGGCTTGAAGCCCAATTTTGTTAACAGTTTAAGGCTGCTCATGTCAAAGGGCACATCCAACTTTCTGAACTGCCTTCTCCATTTTGTAAGACCAATTCCATTTCTTCCTCATCCTCAACTTACAACACAATTAGTGTCCATGCAAAAAAATTAACCACACATTGAAAACTGAAAAAAGTGTAGAGGAAAAACAAACTGAATTTAATATAAAATAAATTCTTCTGTTTTGTATACATTCATATTCAACTCAAAACATGGATCTGACTTTACCAAGGGCTGAAGAATCCAAAAACCTTGCTGTGAAATGCAAGTCAGTTTGCCACATGATCCCATGTAATCTGTATCAGGTTAAAATAAAAATTAAAAACAAACAAAAAGCACCACTGAAATATCAGGACATGGTTTGATTTGCATCCTTCTCTTCCAGACACTCAAAATACATCAACAAAAACAACTAATGAGAAAATATAAAGGCACTAGACATGGATCATTGTTTAAAGCCATGATTCAAATCCCATCAATGGGAAAAAATTTAACTGAATTAAAAGCACTTTGCATCAGGCCTCAATCACCATTGCAGAAGTCATGTTTGTAGGAACTGGAACTTAAAATATTTCCCAATTTGTAGCCATTTAAAAATCTCAGTCATAACAGCAGATTGCTTGCACCGAGTTATTCTGAATATCTTTTGCATGAACTAGAGCCAACATGTTGAGGGTTACTGAACCAAGCAGCTGAACAAAACAGGAATACCCTTATTTTCAGTATGACTGGAATATTTACAAAACAAGGTTGGGGATGGAGGGGAGAGAAAGATGCATCTTCATTAAGCCTAGGACTATCACAATACTCCATATCAGATTCATGAACATTTTTTGATAAAGTTCACTATTATTATTACAATTCAGTTTTCCAGTTAGGTAAGAAATTAGACAACTTGGAGGTAACCCAGTTTTTTAAACAGTTTTGTAACAGCTTCTCCCTAACATAATGCTCACACAACTTGTTGTCAATTTAAAAAAATATTTAATGCTGCCAAAAAGTATAAAAATACAATAAGAATGGCAGTACAAAACAAAGTATTTTCTAATTTATTTCTTTTACATCTTTCTACAATTAATACAGTCATTATAAAACATGTAAGACAGCAAATTATTTTCTTTCGCAAAGAAGCATGCTGGTGGTGTTCTTCATCCCCTGGATGTAGTTTACGTTGTAAACAGATAGTTATGAGGCCTTGGTATTTATCAGACCTCACTTTTGTTCCCGAAGGGGGGCTCATGTCTTGCTTTGCATGTCAATAATTTGCAATTTATAGCTTCAGAATATTCACAAGTCTTGGAGGTTTAGGTGTCAGTCAGTCTCGGCCTACGACATACAATGCAAAACAAAGTCACAGATTCAGTACACATTAAGAATCAACACGTATTAAGGGCTTGTAGCTCATTGTAACTGTAGACTGCAAAAATGATTTGTTCCAATTTCTGATATTGTTCATCAAAATAATTACCTGATATAATATGTAGCAAAACTGTTTGAAACGCCAAATCTTTTTAGAAAAGTTCTACAAAGTTATTACATAAGGTAAGTGCATGCTGGAGAGTTGAAACTTAAGACAACCCAGTAAGCACAGAGAGGAAGTTAGTTGCCCAATCCAGGGAATCATGTAGGCATGTTCCCAGCTTTACAGATAGGCAGTCCCACTGAAATCAGTGAGACTACATAAGTATTTAGATCAGTGTCCTCCAAAGAATACCGATTAATAATTTATACCTAGAGCTGTTTTTGAAAGTGATGGCTCAATGGAGAAAGACAGTGAAAACATACAATTCTTTTGTACTGAGGGGAGATTTCCAACATTTTTTTTATTTTTTATTTTTATTTTTTAAATAAATGGTAATCTATGCAGCCAGGAACAAATCAGAACTAAGATTTGCAATAGCAGACTGATTTATAACTAGTTTTAAGCCAACGTACAGCATAGTACAATATCTTTCCAAATGAAGCTTTTCAAATCAAATAAAGACTCAGACAGATGTAATATTTTGAATATATTTATTTTAATACATGAAAGTAAAACTAAAGTTTTGAGAGGCAGGAAAACTAATTTCCAAGGCCAATGGCAATGCGTAGCTCTGCATTCAGTGGTGAGGGTAAGTGTAGGATGCAGTAGTGGGATGAGAATGGCCCTCGGTACAGAGCAGGGGGAGCTCAAACAGCTGCCTGCTGGATGCTATGTAGGGCACAGAAAGTGTCCCCACCATTGTGGGCTAGATCAAGTCTCTTTGCAGGCCAGATTTGGTCCACAGACTGCCAACCTCAAGCCTAGGCTCTTTAGTCCCCATCTCAACACCATCCTCTCTAAAGTTTGGCTTTTGTGTATACACTTGCACAATACTATGTTTTTAAAAGGTTTAACTGATAAGTCGGTTTCTTTCTTAACACTTAATTCCCCTAACACTCACCTGTGATTTTTCATTATTTGTTTGGGATGGAATCTGCTAGTTACTAAGAACTACTGCTCTATTGGGAAAAAATAGTGAAGAGTAGAGGGGGCCCTCATCCCACTTTTTTTTTTTTTTTTTAACAGATTTTTCTCCTGCCTGAAAAATACATCATCAAATAGAAAACTATAAGGACCAATTCCAAGTCTTGTAATCTACAGCAAGTGGCCTGTAATGGATGTGCAGATGTTTGTTAGCGATTTTTTTTGTAAAAGGTGCATGCAAGTTGTGAGAAGCTATTCATCTGAATGTCAAAGCACTATTATTTTTCAAGAAAACAATACTTGTATGTATGGCACAGGGGTGAGGAGTGGGAGGGAGAGGGGGAGGTCACAGTTAAGATTTGAATCAGAAGCTCAAGATCATTTCAGAACCTAGCATGCCAGTTGGCATTTCAGATTCTAATACATGGAAACTGTTAAAAATAAGCACTCTTGTGATTGTCAAGCACCACAGAAATATCAACAATATAATCACATTGCTTAGACTGTTGTAATGTTCTAAAACCTTGAAGTCTAGTCTGACTGGGGTGAGCATTTGGCTATTCATTTTAATGTAGCTAAGATGTCACCCAGAATTCTTTCCTGGAATTGCTTAAATTTCTTCCTCAATCACATTAAAATTTAAATTAATGATATTGGTGGTTTGTGCTCCATTAATCATTATGAATGTCTTCCTACTCTGGCTGTTAATGATGTAGCCAAACCAACCAAGAAGCAAAAGCTTACCCAGGAATCAAACTAACTTGCTAATATTCATTTATGGAGTCAAGAACAGTAACTAGAATGTGAGAAGTTATGACTATTCACAACAGCTTGCTTCAAATTGATGCAACAAAGGAGCCAGAATTTAAAAGATGGAGCCAGGTAGATCATTTAAATGAAGACCTGAAGAGCTGCAGTTGGAGGTAGGTGTCAGAGGGAAGCAGAGAAGACCTAGAAAAAATCTCCCTGAAAAACTGAGTCAAGAAATAAATCATAACAGTTTCAGTAAAGGGGGATTTTTCTATCTTACACGATTTTTTTCTCACCTGATTTTCTTCAAACGTTTTGAAACAATAAGACCTAGTTCTTATTCTATTTTATGATAATATTTCATTACCCTGCATGTTTCCCAACAAACAGAAAACAATCCCTGTCAGACACTTTATAGCTTAATGGGAAGGACTTTTGTCAAATCTGAGGCAAGCTATGCTAGAAAGACTAATACACTTCACTTTTAATATAGACACAAGTTGAAAATTAGGAATTCATTCTATCAGAGTTGTCCTAATGAACACAAGTGCCATACTGGGTCAGACCAATGGTCTATCTAGCCTGGTATGCTGTCTCCAATAATGGCAGAAATGGATGCTAGAGGGAGAGCACTGAACTAGTCAGATTTAGAGTGATCCATCTCCCATTACCCTCCTGGGCATCCACCATTACTAGTTTAAAGATGCCAGAGAAAATATCTCCAACTGTTCCGATAAAAAGACCATTTTTTTCCTCTCATGGCTTGAGATTTAAGTTTTATATATTGAATTTTATGATTTTATCCTTAAAAAGCTGTCTATTGACTAGCATATACCATAGCAGATATTTCATCTCGACCATACCACAGCTCCACAATTGACCAGTGTCACAGTACTGATTACTGTTTTGCTTTAGTCGCAAAAATGCACAGTACTCAAAACCATGTTTCTTTAAGACACTATACTTGACTTTTAATTAGGGGTCTACCCAACTCCAAGCAGCGTCAGCCAACTTCATGGACCGGTTGCAGGGCTTGCTGCCATTTTCACAGGTTTACTATAGTGGGGTCCCACCATGCCTCTGATTGCTTATGGGGGGGGGGGTCCTGCCTCCCACTGCTGATTGGTGGAGAAGGCTGCCTATCATATCGCCCCACCCATTGCCACTGACCAATGAAGAGAGGCAGAGCAGCAGGGCGTGTGAGCCATCTTGCCTGCTCACCTTTATGCTGGCAGCCCCCCTTCATGCCAGGCTGCATGGCAGGAAGGACTACTGGCTCCGACTGGTGAGCCAGCATTTTTTAGGAACTTTTTTTGTTTTGTATTTTTTCCCCTGTGGATTTCAGAGATCATCTGGTTTTGTGATTTCCATGAAATCCACACAATTGTGATTTGAGTAGGTCCCTACTTATAATTCTTTTATAAAGACCAAGGGAAATGCACAATAAGCTTCTATTAACACCATCTGGAGTTCCCCATGTATCCACTGCAATTCAATGAGAAACTATCTTTGTGTGCATTATTCAGCCTTGCCCAAACATCTGTGCAACAGTAGGTTATACTCAAGTCTGGGTCCCTTGTTTCAGAGCTTGCAGACAAATGGAGGCCTCAAGTTACTAACTTCTTTGGATGAGACTAACCTATATGCTTAACATATATTGCACTTGTCATCAGTAAAGTTCAAAAGTACTTTAACAAAAGGAGGTAAGTGTCATTGTTGTCATTTAAGAGATGTGGACATAAAAGCCCAGAGATACTGGACTTGCCCATGGTCACTCAGCAGTGGCAGACCTAGGACTGGAAACCAATGCCCTCAGCTGCAACACAGTGCTCTAGCCACTAGACTAGACTGCTTCCATCCTCAGATGAAAATAGATAATTGCATATGGAGCTGGAAAAATAACTACTGGATACAAATCTCCATACAAATAGTGCAAAGTTTATACTTCATGGTTATAAAGTGATCTAGGTGCCAGTACTCCCTTCATTTGCTATTCTTAACGTAGCAGTTACCCATCAGGCCGATTATGATGTTAGGCAACTTAAAGAGTACCTTATAAATGTCTGGCAAACTCAGTTAAGATTGGGCTCAATTACTAGGATCTAAATTCAGCAACAACTAATAGCATCTATACTTGGTACCCAGTATTTTCATTTAAGAATGAATTGGTTTTAAGTTGCCATATATTTCCATTAGATCTTAATTACTACAAGGAATGCAACTCACACACACAAAATATCATGTTTCACATTTAATGGAATGTTAACTTTAACAAAGCTAGGGCTTCAAACAGTAGCTGAAGTCTGAATACAACTTCCATTCACCAGTTTAACAGTTTGCCTTTAGGTAAGGGGGAGTTAAGTTTCCCATAATCTTTAAACCAAAAACCCCCTCAAAAGTAAATTATTTAAATAAATTCCAAAAAAAAATAAATAAGGAATGCAACTTACAGAACAGATAAGTGGTTCATCAGACCCCTAGCTGCTCATATCAAAAGTCCCAAAGTCTTGAAATATGGGGAATGGATGCACTGTTAACTACTGTAATGCACAAATTATGCTTTACATTTGTTTCAAAATCAGATTCTTTCTTGGTCAAAGAGTTTGTACAAACTGAGCTTTAAAAGTACAGTTAACTACAAAAGTAAGATTAAATACGCAGTTATAAAATATCTTTATCCTAGGTCATAAGAATATAAAATGTTTATGCCCATGTTCATAGTACATTACACACATGTAAGGATAGCCTCTTTGCATTAATAATGTAAATGATACAACACTGTTTATTGCTTATGTCAGGTGTAAATTAAGACAGCCTCAGTAGTTAAAACTTTGTGGCTCGGGGTCTGTCTTGTAGATTTTGTGGAAATCTATTTTAAAAAGTGTATAAATACATTTGCAGGAAACTTGTACCTGTTTAACAAAAATGAACCACTTTATTCAGATAGCAGTTTGCTGTGTGGTTTCAGAAGTACCTGCAGTGAGAAGTCCTGAGATGTTGACTTGTGATCAGTTTACATCACTTATCTAGTTAACATTTAAACTTCTGCACCAGTTTAGGTGTAAGAAGTTTGCTGATGAATGGCAAACTCCTAACAACTAACTTGCAGCATAACTAACTGCTAATGCAGACAAGCTCACTTGTTTACTTACAAGGAATGTTCTTGAAAATACATTTTCCAGCAATAAACAGCTCCAAATAAAATCAATGTACCAAACATAACCTTAATGAGAATAGGTTTCCAATATAACCACCTTTTCCTTTTTCGTTCAGTTTCACTTAACTTCTGTTTCATCTGCTGCAGCTTCTGTGCCGTGTTAGCCTTTCTATCCTCTCGAAGGCGTTTCCGAACAGTACTGGGGAAAAGAAAAAGGGAAAACGGGCTAAGCAATGTAATAGGAAGAACCCCTGAAGACATGTTAAAGGTAGCGCTTCTTCCCCCAGCACATACAGAAAGCTTAATCTGTCTGGAACTATTTAAGAACAAGACAAAACTAAGAGGAAAACCTGGAGGGGAATGCAAAAACAACCTGGGTACTTCCAGTAAGGCTGCTAAATGGAGCCTTAGAAAATGCCAGATTCTAAAACAACCCACAAAACCTTAATTTTGTCCCCTCTTGCATAGGCATGATGCACTCAATCACCTGAACTCTGGCTTCAACGACTGTGTATGTGTTTTTGTACAAAAACAGATACTAGACAAATAATGTGCCTCTTCACTTGTGTCTTCCTTGCAAAGTTAACTCAGCTTCCTATCAAGTCACTGACCCTGAAGGCTTCTCCCCCCTCTGTGATCAGTGACTAGGTGCCTGTTTTGGACTATAAAAGTCAAGTCCCAATCTAAGTTTTGACTTGGGACGACAGCTGGCTGTGTCACAGAGCAAGGATGCAGGCAAAAAAAAAATCAGACAAAAACAATACAGCCTCTGCTGCCTTCCCACAATTCCCTGTGCACACAAAAGTTCCCCCACAAAAAAAATACAGACACAATGAACTGTGTTTCTACAAGTCCTGGCTAACACACTTTCATGCCTTCTCCCATGCCATTTATCAAACCCCTCATTTGCCATGAGGCTCATAAAACATTTGACAATTGTTAGGATACCAGTGACCGAAAGTCCCTATCAGGTTAAACACCATTTTTTCACCGTTTCCTTCGTATCTTCCTTATCTACAGTGACTCCCCATCTTCTCTTAAAGTATAAGGCCTGGGGTAGGCCTTCTTGCACCTAAACTGCTTATTCTTGATGTAGGTCTTAGCACTATAAGACCCTGACCCGCAGGCAGGTGCCAACTCCTACAATAATACAATTACCTGCAACATGCTGCAACTTTGGCAAGGACAAAGCAACTCAGAAGGGATTTGTAATGTGCCTGTTCATATCCAGACTGAACCCCCCCCACACCTCTAAAGCAACTGAATTGTAAAAAGGTATAGGTAGGAAAAAGCTAAGATTACACTGAAAAAACAAATCCTTTACTATGTCTGAGACTCTTCAACCAAACTCCCTCCTTCTTCAACACAAGAGACAACTCATTCAAAATTAAAAGCTTTCTTATGACCAGCAATATAAAAATCCAATGCAACTTAAGTGTTCTCTCCTACCACATTCATTTCTGATTACACTCACCTTTCTGTGTTTCCATCCACAGCATCTTGCACTTTGGTGGACAGGTCTGTATTTATTTTTTCCCCAATTTGCTCCTGTTTTTCTATGCCCACACTATTTCCATTGTACTTTTCTGTAATTATTTTGGTTGGGTGTGGAGGAGAGTGCTCAGAACTTGGTGCTTGGTCCTCTTTAGAAAGTTCTTTCCATCGTTTCTGAATAAAGAAGAAAGTTGTTGAGTAACAGCTTCCATATCTTTGACTAACAGGGTTTGTCACAGTACTGTCATAAATAAAACTACATTAACAGAACTAAATATAATAATTTCTATAACAGAGGTTAAGACCAAACTAAGATATTCTCAACATAAGTAAGGGTATCTTATTTTAAAAGCAAGGCAACCGACTGACTTCTAATGAGGTGTTAATTCGCTCCCAATTATGGAGTGGCCAATGCATTTAAATGTTTAAGGTTGTAGATATATTGTAAACCTCACTTCCACCTCCCAGGTTGTGAACTACATCCCCCCTGCCACCAAGTACTATTGCTATGTCCAGTTAAGGCACTAATTTAAGAGAAATGTTCCATCTAGCGCAGATGGAAAATCATAATAATTTGTTTCACTGTGGTAGATATATATGTGCTTGTTCTATTGTACTGGTTATTATTTAAATCTGTGTGGAATAAGAATCACTATATTTAATTTGCAGGACAGAAAGAACATTTATGTTCATTATAACAGTTTGACACAGGGTACATTCTACAGAATGTCTCTCAGAATGATACCTAAAAAAAGCAATTCAAGGACTGAGAACAGATTTTACCAAAACTCTCCCTACACATAAAATTAATGTGACAAATGCCCTATTGCCATCTCATCAAGAGATTTAATTTGTTTCCTCTTTTTATATTAAAAATGCTAAGTTAAATGTTTTCTTGGTTTCACTCGCATGCTTAGATCAAAACTAGGACAGTAAAAAGATATCCAACTGGTTAAGAATTAAAACTTCAAGAACAAGCAACCATTAATGCTCTCACCTTTAAGAAACACCAAAGCCAAGACTAATGACAGTCTGAAGAAAACAACTAGGCCAATAAAAACTCAAAGTCAAGCATTCAGTGCACAGATCTATTTGCTCTGAATTAACTAAAATCTTCTGGTAAAAAGTAGGACTGCAAACCAAAAGGTAAAACTCTCAAGTCCAAAGCACACCTAACATTTCTAGGAATGAATCACAGAAAATTAGGGTTGGAAGGGAGATCAGGAGGTCATCTAGTCCAACCCCCCTGCACAAAGAAGGACCATCCCCAACTAGATCATACAAGTGAGGGCTTTGTCAAGCTAGGCCTTAAAAGCCTCCACAGATGAAAATTCCACCACCTCTCCAGCTAACCCGTTCCAGTGTTTCACCACCATCCTCATGAGTTTTTTCTAATATCCAATCTAAACCTCCCTTGCTACAACTTGAGACCATTGTTCCTCGTTCTGTTGTCTGCCACCACTGAGAACAGTCTAGCTCAGGGGTGGTCAAAATACACCCCATGGGCCAGATCCAAGCTGCCAACTGATTTCATCCGGCCTACAGATCAGCAGCTGCAGTCATAAGATGCAGCCCATAGAGAGCCAGTGGTTCCATCTGCTGTAACATGCTGGGTAGATGGGCATGTCCCAGCCCTGTTCAGTTTACAGTATCTCCCACCCCACGCACTAGAAGTAACACCAGGTGCACACTGGCATCAGCTGTGGATGCTGCCTGCAGGTTTCTGCCAGGGATCAGGGCAACTACCTGGGACCACAGCTGATGCAGCAGCATCACCTGCAGACCCAGGAGGATGCCCCAATCCCCAGTGGGAACCAGCCATTTGCATTTGCAGCTGATGTTGGTGCCAACCCAGTACTCCTTTCGGCACACAAGCCAGGAGCTGGTGTAAGTTGCAGGGCCATGCTGTAGGTGCAGGATGGCAGGAGGGAGAGGAGGTAGAAGCTCTGCTCACAATGAGTAGCAGTGGCCTAGCAGTGGGAGCACCCCACACCGGCTGCCGCCACTCATGGGCAGGGTCGCTTCTCCTCCCCCACCCCCCCCAAACTCCTACAGCATGGCCCCACAGCTTATAGCAGCTCCCGGCCTGTGCACTGGAAGCAGCACCGGATGGGTATTGGCATCAGCGGTGGACGCAAGTGGCCACTTCTCCCTGTGGATCAGGATATCTGCCTGAGCCCCTCCTTGAGGTAGAAGGGTGGGTTGGAGGCTAAAGCTGTTGTGCATTCACATCAGCTCTGCCCTCTGCTCACCCCACCCCACATAGGTTTGGTGAGCTGTTGGGGGGGGGGGGGGGGGGGTTGCTGACCAGCCTGCAACAGGTCACCAAAACTCCCTAAGTGGCCCTCCAGCCCAAATAATTGCCCACCCCTGATATTTGTGCATGCAAGTCTTCTGTCCTACATACAGCACTTTGAATTTGTCCTTGAATTTAATTTGACTGATTTTTGTACCATTTCTCCAGTTTATTACGGC